ACAGCCACGGAAATGTTGGAAAAAATACCACTGAAGTATGGCTATTTTCTTTTATGCAATTTGCCAGCTAGCTCTTTCAAAATACTTGTCAGACTAAAGACATCCGGGTACTAAAAATGTGTGATTTTAAGAAAACAAAAACAGCATGAATAACAACATGGTAATTTGTAAACCTTGTTATTAGATGAACTAAACCTGAACGTTTTTATGAGGAACACTTGAATTTGTCCTGGAGAGGATGCTTGTTTCTTTATTTAGTCATCTCTGGAATGAATAAACGTGAAATATTTTAATTTGCAAACAACTCTCCCTTTGAGTAAACAAGNAAAAAAAAAAAAAAAAAAAAAAAAAAAAAAAAAAAAAAAACATGTCCTTAAACGACCTTGGCTGTTAATATGGTGTGGAACAAAATTTAAAAAAAACTGATCGCAAAACTATAATGATCAAAAGTAAGAGGACACGAGTGTCGCAAAACTATAATGATCAAAAGTACACGAGTGGAGCAAAACTATAATGATCAAAAGTAAGAGAACATGAGTGGAAATAATGAACAGCACCAGGGAATGTGTAGTGGGTTCTGGACGTGTTCAAATGGTCCAGACGGCTAGCCCAACCATTAGCAATAAACAGTATACAGAGATGAAATAAGGAATGTCTCTGACATAAACGGTTTACAAAGATGAAATTATAAATGGCTCGGACCACTTTCTCGTTTGAATTAAATTAGAAATGTCCACATTCCTTCATTTAGTGTACTGTTCTGTTAAATTAGAAACAAAGTGACAATCTACCAGCAAATGAAAGTGCAACACTACAAGGGAGTTACTTGGATCTTCAACCTAACTCCTACAGGTGAAAATAGGCTAACCTGAATCCCCTACATGGGAGAATGAACTTGTCTAATGTAACAAAACAGTCTCTAGCTAGTACAATAATTACAAACATAAAAGTATGATGTATACAACAGTACACTTCTGTCGTTGTGTAACAAGGCAGATAATCATATAATATTTAACATTGACATAAAAAACAATTGCATGCAATTAATTTCTTTAAAATCTATTAAACAATTAATAGCAAAATACATGTCAACAATTTAAAAAAAAAATCAAAAAATCTTACTACCAGCAAAACAGTAAGTTGGCTGGTCACTACCAACAAAACAGTATGTTGGCTGGTCACTACCAACAAAACAGTATGCTGGCTGGTCTGTTTATGTTGGTCTTGGCTTCTAAACTTCATTAACAAACATTCATGGTAACCATAGTGATATTTCTTATCTATGTAAATATTAAGATCGATGTCCAGTCCTACTCGGGATATAAAGTGTACAAATGGTCCTCATCAATTCCATCTCACAACAACACTATATATACATCTCCATAACAACAACTACAATGATATGATACGTTTCCATGACAACACAAATATTTCTGACAAAGTGTACTTCTTAATCACAATATTAGAACAACTTCATTCCAAAAAAAATATTACTATATCTCCATGACAACAGATACAGGTAATGTCAGCAACTTCACACAAACGTTTTTAAAAATATGCCCGTTTAGTCTGTTACTTCAGTAAGACGACACTAAGTGTTCCTACATGGCAATAATCTGTCTGAGCTGTACACAGCACTGTAGGTGTTCCACAAGGCATAGTGGGGGGAAGACACTGTTTTAACGTCCCACACTGGGTATGTACACCATTTCCTGAACTAAGACTGACTGGCTATACTAGTTTAAGTCACAAATCAATAGTAATGTAGAAACACTGCAGAAACCAAAATACCCTAATTTCTTGATAAGAAGCTGTAGCTTATTTTTTTTCTGTATGAATCCCAGCCTTTTGTCCATAGCTAGCTCCATGGAGGTGTTGCTTTCAAATTAGTTAACTGGTGTAATATAGGCCCTATATTTAAACAATGTTTTTGCTCTTTTTTTTATTCGATAGTGACATTGGTATTTTTTGTTTTTGATATCTATATCATATCTAACACATTTCATTTACTCAAAATAGTCATCAACTGCTTTCTGAGCGAAATCTGTTTTTTTAAGTTCCTGTATCAGGCTATACATTGAGATTTTAGGGTATCTGGACTTACAAAGTTTCACTATACTAAATCACTGAGAGTTTCTGCATAATAAAATCACCTACATATGGGGTTTTTTTCCAAAATAATTTTTATATAACTTTATCAATCCAAACAGGCAATAGAGATCAATGTAGAATCAACCACTTGGTACAACTACAAGACAATGGTAACCATTGATCTCCACAAAACATCAGTCTCCAACCACAACATCAGTCCATCCACAACATCAGTCTCCATCCACAACATCAGTCTCCACCCACAACATCAGTCTCCAACCACAACATCAGTCTCCATCCACAACATCAGTCTCCCCCCACAACATCAGTCTCCAACCACATCATCAGTCTCCACCCACAACATCAGTCTCCAACCACAACAACATCAGCCTCCAACCACAACATCAGTCTCCAACCACAACATCAGTATCCAACCACAACATCAGTCTCCAACCACCACATCAGTCTCCAACCACAACATCAGTCTCCCCCCACCACATCAGTCTCCAACCGCCACGTCAGTCTCCAACCACAACATCAGTCTCCACCCACAACATCAGTCCCCACCCACAACATCAGTCTCCAACCACAACAACATCAGCCTCCAACCACAACATCAGTCTCCATCCACAACATCAGCCTCCATCCACAACATCAGTCTCCACCCACAACATCAGTCTCCAACCACAACAACATCAGTCTCCAACCACAACATCAGTCTCCATCCACAACATCAGTCTCCAACCACAACATCAGTCTCCAACCACAACATCAGTCTCCACCCACCACATCAGTCTCCAACCGCCACGTCAGTCTCCAACCACAACATCAGTCTCCACCCACAACATCAGTCTCCAACCACAACATCAGTCTCCACCCACAACATCAGTCCCCATCCACAACATCAGTCTCCACCCACAACATCAGTCCCCATCCACAACATCAGTCTCCAACCACAACATCAGTCTCCCCCCACAACATCAGTCTCCACCCACAACATCAGTCTCCACCCACAAAATCAGTCTCCATCCACAACATCAGTCTCCACACACAACATCAGTCTCCACCCACAACATCAGACTCCAACCACAACATCAGTCTCCAACGACAACATCAGTCTCCATCCACAACATCAGTCCCCAACCACAACATCAGTATCCAACCACAACATCAGTTCCCACCCACAACATCAGTCTCCAACCACAACATCAGTATCCAACCACAACATCAGTCTCCAACCACAACATCAGCCTCCATCCACAACATCAGTCTCCAACCACAACATCAGCCTCCACCCACCACATCAGTCTCCAACCGCCACGTCAGTCTCCAACCACAACATCAGTCTCCCCCCACCACATCAGTCTCCAACCGCCACGTCAGTCTCCAACCACCACATCAGTCTCCACCCCCAACATCAGTCTCCAACCACAACATCAGTCTCCACCCACCACGTCAGTCTCCAACCGCCACGTCAGTCTCCAACCACCACATCAGTCTCCACCCCCAACATCAGTCTCCAACCACAACATCAGTCTCCCCCCACCACATCAGTCTCCAACCGCCACGTCAGTCTCAAACCACAACATCAGTCTCCACCCACAACATCAGGCTCCACCCACAACATCAGTCTCCACCCACAAAATCAGTCTCCATCCACAACATCAGTCTCCACACACAACATCAGTCTCCACCCACAACATCAGACTCCAACCACAACATCAGTCTCCAACGACAACATCAGTCTCCATCCACAACATCAGTCCCCAACCACAACATCAGTCTCCACCCACAACATCAGTCCCCATCCACAACATCAGTCTCCACCCACAACATCAGACTCCAACCACAACATCAGTCTCCAACGACAACATCAGTCTCCATCCACAACATCAGTCTCCACACACAACATCAGTCTCCACCCACAACATCAGACTCCAACCACAACATCAGTCTCCAACGACAACATCAGTCTCCATCCACAACATCAGTCCCCAACCACAACATCAGTCTCCATCCACAACATCAGTCCCCAACCACAACATCAGTCTCCACCCACAACATCAGTCTCCAACCAAAACATCAACACCTTACTATATATACATCATTAGAACAATATACGAATGAACACTATCATGTTATCATAGTCTCTATATAGTCAATCTATTAAACTACATATATATATATTTATATAACACAATGCACCTGTGCATCAGTCTCCAGTAAAATAGAAATCTTTTACACTTTACTAATATATCTATACAACAGGATGTATACTTATGTAATATATCGGCCACAGACAGACAGATACAGGCCACTAGGTCATACTAGGTAAGTCACTTCAATAACCTTTTGTTTTTACTTGATCACAATTTATATATTCTAAATTTGATTCACCATTATTATATGTTAAAATAAGCTTTATAGCGAAATTACTATTTTATTAACTACAAATATATATGAAAATAGAACTTCTAAGGTTCCATAAAAATATAATGAATTCATAACATAAATTATTATTATCAGCAAGTTTACTAGAAATTATTTTCAGTTTTTAAGTTTCTCCTACAGTCAACATGTAGCAGTAAAACAGTGTGAGACCTGACTAGACAGGAAAGCCAATGAACAGCGAAGTTCTGAGAAAGAGACAGCAAAGGAGCAAGTAAATAGACTTCAGCAGGTTTTCACCTGTACACCCTATTACTGAGTAACAAGTAGATAGACTTCAGCAGGTTTTCACCTGTACACTCTATTACTGAGTAACAAGTAGATAGACTTCAGCAGGATTTCACCTGTACACCCTATTACTGAGTAACAAGTAAATAGACTTCAGCAGGTTTTCACCTGTACACCCTATTACTGAGTAACAAGTAAATAGACTTCAGCAGGTTTTCACCTGTACACCCTATTACTGAGAAACAACAAGATAGACTTCAGCAGATTTTCACCTGTACACCCTATTACTGAGTAACAAGTAGATAGACTTCAGCAGGTTTTCATCTGTACACCCTATTACTGAGAAGTGCTGTCCAACATGCACTATTAAGGTCAAGGGCACATCAAATAAAACATATTACAATCCCTCTATTCTGAAACATTTGTTTAAGTGTTTTCTACAGAAAAATTCCATGAGAATTACAATGTTCAAAAAAACACAAACTGCCGAGTCAAACTTGGGACTTTTACACTGCCAATGGTACACTTCCCCAACCAATGAACCAACCTGCCTAGCATCAAAATGAGATGCTAACTATGGGCTGCAAGCTGAAGTCTCATGGGGAAAAATCACTGAACTACTTATGGAGAGATAACACCTTGACAGCTGCTAGCTTAAATCATCATATACTGTATAGCGGTTATATGTCGCGGGGTTTTAATCTCCCTTTGACTAATATCCGCGAATTCTAAACACCAGCGAAATTATTGAAAATATTAACCACTTTTATGGACCTTATCACAATATGTTGAAAATACTTATAACCCAACGCTGTTATGCAAACTTGAATGAACTCAAATCAGTTTATCACCGGACAACTGGGCAGTCCATGTAAAAACAACACTTACCTATAAGTGGTCACAACCTATGTATGTGTACACAGTAGGTGATTTATTGATAACAGTTTACTCCTACAAAGATACATAAACATTTGATTTCCTTCTGAGTGAAGTCACTGGCGAATGATGACGCTTGGGATCAGTGTTTTCAAACAGTTAACCTGTATTTCGATGTTTAACCCTTAAATGATGACACACAAAATACTTTGCACGACACATGGGATTCGGGTGCGCAGAGAAATTAAACCCCCACGAATATGAACTGAATACGAAACCACTAAATATTGACCCCGCAAATTTAAAGCGCTATACAGTAACTCTTTTTATAGCAATATTAATATCTTAGGACTATTATCAACTCAAAATTAGTACCTGCAGAATATTATGAACTCAATTTTAGTACCTGAAGACAGTATTAACTCAACTTTAAAGTTTCTTCATGGCTTTAAAAAGTGAGTAAGATTACTATGCGTAGATAATACAAGAACAAATAAACATTGGATGTGGGCCTACTGAGATTACTGTCCTCCCTACAAACGAGCTCTGATGGGAAGGTGTATCACCAAACCTATACCAATGGTAGAACAAGACTTGTTATGTATCCTTTTGGCAACCTTTGACTCAATATTGTTATCAGCTAAGTAACTCAGCTTCTTGATATATGTACAACCTATCATATGCAAAACTATATATATCCTCATTTCTAATAATGGGCTGGATTGTTCAAAATATATACTCCCAAAAAATCATACCCACAATAAAATACTAACAAATACATCTCCATTACAACTTTGTATCAGTTACTCGACACCAGCTAAATATATACCAAGCATACAGCTACCTTACCATATATACTACCAGCTAACACAAACATTGGCAAAGTTAACACTACATACTGTATCACACCACTTCCTACACATTCACACAGCAAACACGGCTCAATACAGCTGTGTATAGACGTATCAATGTCTGGGTGGGGAGTTATCTGAGTGAGAAGCACGATTAGGTGGTTTCTGTTGTTGTGGTGGATTTTTAGAGGGTTTCTGTTGTTTTGGTGGTGGGGGAGGTTGATGGTTAGGAGGAGTTGGTTTACGTTGTTGATTTTGCTGCTTCTTTTGCGTTGCTTGCTGTTGTTGCTGTTCCTGCTGTTGTCCTTGCTGTTGCTTTGGTTGAGGTTGTTCCTGCTGTTGATTTGGTTGATGTTGTTCCTGCTGTTGATTTGGTTGATGTTGTTCCTGCTGTTGCTTCGGTTGATGTTGTTCCTGCTGTTGCTTTGGTTGATGTTGTCCCTGCTGCTGTTTGCCTGGTGTACTCTGCTCAGTTGTTGCTGCCTGTTGTGTTGCGCGCTGTTTTTCTTTGTGAGCCTTGATGGCATCGTTGATGCGAGAACGTACGATCTGTAGATGGTTGTAGATGTACTCCTCCTCGGGAGCCATGTTGTGGACGCGTGCGAGACACTTCTCTGCACGGAACAGGTCGCGCTTCTCCACGTACACCACACAAAGGTTGTGATGTGCCTGAACATTTAGGGGATCCAGATCTACCACCAGATTGAAGTTCTACAACAAACACAATCAAAAAGATTTTATAGTGGAGACAAAAACAGCAGTATTAAACAGTGCAAAATATGTCATGAAGCCGGCAATCATTTATTCTGTATATTAGCAATGTCTCAATCTTTATAATTCTTCAAGGAAATACATTGAACAATGAGTTTGTAACACTTTAATTTGTACACATTAGCCAGGACTTCAAAACAAACATAGTTCGATGAGACTGTGAATGGGTTTTCTAAATTAAAGCCAGGATTGCTGTAACAGATATAATACCTGATCTGAATCATTAGGGAACAGTCATAACAAATCTGATCAAAAGCTGTAAAAGGTTATAATTGTGAAGATGTAATGAGAGAAATGTTCTATTTAGAACTGGAAAGAAAACAACAAAGACGGTATATAGACCAAGATATCATAACAGACACTAACATGATTTAATTTAATATATGTCATTTTAGATCAATTACATCAAAATTTTAGAAAATACCAGCTAGCATCTACCTAGAGCAACGTTTTATTATAAACCTATTCCATTGAATGGTTAAAGTTCTAGATGATTACACACCTGTTCTGCAGTGTTAAATGTATGGTCAATGTTCTAGATGATTACACACCTGTTCTGCATTGTTAAATGTATGATCAACATTCCAGCTGATTACACACCTGTTCTGCATTGTTAAATGTATGATCAACATTCCAGCTGATTACACACCTGTTCTGTAGTGTAAAATGTATGGTCAATGTTCTAAATGATTACGCACCTGTTCTGCAGTGTTAAATGTTTTGTCAATGTTCTAGATGATTACACCCCTGTTCTGCATTGTTAAATGTATGATCAACATTCCAGCTGATTACACACCTGTTCTGCAGTTTTAAATGTATGATCAATGTTCTAGATGATTACACACCTGTTCTGCATTGTTAAATGTATGATCAACATTCCAGATGATTACACACCTGTTCTGTAGTGTTAAATGTATGGTCAATGTTCTAAATGATTACACATNCTGTTCTGCAGTGTTAAATGTTTGGTCAATGTTCTAGATGATTACAAACCTGTTCTGCAGTGTTAAATGTATGGTCAATGTTCTAAATGATTACACACCTGTTCTGCAGTGTTAAATGTATGGTCAACGTTCTAGATGATTACACACCTGTTCTGCAGTGTTAAATGTATGGTCAATGTTGTAAATAATTACACACCTGTTCTGCAGTGTTAAATGCATGGTCAACATACTAGATGATTACACACCTGTTCTGCAGTGTTAAGCGTATGGTCAATGTTGTAAATGATTACACACCTGTGCTGCAGTGTTAAATGTATGGTCAACGTTCTAGATGATTACGCACCTGTTCTGCAGTGTTAAATGTATGGTCAATGTTCAAGATGATTACACACCTGTTCTGCAGTGTTAAGCGTATGGTCAATGTTGTAAATGATTACACACCTGTTCTGCCGTGTTAAATGTATGATCAACGTTCTAGATGATTACACACCTATTCTGTAGTGTTAAATGTATGGTCAATGTTCTAGATGATTACACCCCTGTTCTGCAGTGTTAAATGCATGGTCAACATTCTACATGATTACACACCTGTTCTGCATTGTTAAATGTATGATCAACATTCCAGATGATTACACACCTGTTCTGTAGTGTAAAATGTATGGTCAATGTTCTAAATGATTACACATCTGTTCTGAAGTGTTAAATGTATGGTCAACGTTCTAGATGATTACATACCTGTTCTGTAGTGTTAAATGTATGGTCAACGTTCTAGATGATTACAAACCTGTTCTGCAGTGTTAAGTGTATGGTCAATGTTGTAAATGATTACACACCTGTGCTGCAGTGTTAAATGTATGGTCAACGTTCTAGATGAATACCCACCTGTTCTGCAGTGTTAAATGTATGGTCAATGTTCTAAAAGATTACACACCTGTTCTGCAGTGTTAAATGTACGGTCAATGTTGTAAATGATTACACACCTGTTCTGCAGTGTTAAATGCATGGTCAACATTCTACATGATTACACACCTGTTCTGCAGTGTTAAATGTATGGTCAATGTTGTAAATGATTACACACCTGTTCTGCAGTGTTAAATGTACGGTCAATGTTGTAAATGATTACACACCTGTTCTGCAGTGTTAAATGTATGGTCAACGTTCTAGATGATTACACACCTGTTCTGCAGCGTCCAGGTTTTTGAGGTTATTCACATTGATGTCGCCCATCAACATGTTGCCTTTGGTGTGATTCGGGTAGAACTGAAACAAACATTCATATTATTTACCTCCTTTTATTGGGTATGACCTACTGAAAAACGACAGAATGACTTATGACATCTGTAGTAAGTTGTCTGTCTGGAAAGGATACAATATGGTATGATATCATTTGTTCAGGTAGTAATATTGCCATGTCCACAGTGTACAATGTTTTGTAATTATAGAGCGGCCCCAGGGTTATACCACATCGCTGAAAAAGCTAGCTCGCCAGTAGGCAGTATTTTGCTCTCATATTCCGTGGTTGTTACACTATTCCCCCTCTGAGAAGTGTTGTCCAAAGACTTGATATAGGGAATCCCCTTGGTGCTCCCTATGTACTAAATTGAACAACTACATTTTCGTAATAGTAAGCTTATGGGAAAACGCACCGAGATGTCGAAACGTAATTAAGTCGATTAAGGCGAATCTCTGACATAGGAATTTGGCTAAACCTTCTTTGTTAGCAGTTACCTATTTAATAATACTTTTCACATAAACTCAGGTAACAATACATTATGTATCAACTGTATCTTTTATTAATGTTTGACATAAATAAATTTGTTGATCGTCATTTGTCTTAAAATTACGTGTACCAAGGGAGATAATCCAAGATGGCGGTCTACCGGAATTGTCGATCTCTTATACCTGTGTATTTTACGCACCCCCCACTTTGAGTATTAAATTTCTGAAAAAAAAGTGCGCAAATTACATGGATTTTTACGGTACCTTCCCTGGTCACCAGGAACTGGCCCTACAAGGTAACCCTGAATCACGACGCTGCCCCACAATGTAGTGTGCGAGTGGGCACCGTTCCTACCAGGGACCACGCTCGATGTTACATCCTAGGGCTATACTGCATCACTGCTACATCAATAACACAACTGCACTGAATGTTTTATTGCATAATTGATTACATCTCTAGTAATTTAGCTTATGACCTACCTGTAAAAGGTTCTCCAGGTAGGGAACAGCTTCCAAAGGTTTCTTCATGTTATTAGTGAGAAGGAGTGCAAGGTTAAACAAGGCACTTTTAAAGTTCCCTTCCAGCTGTCGACGATACAGAAACATAATACAGAAATCAGGCAGCATAACGTGGAACATATCCGACTCAAAAGTCACGACATCAACAATTATTCACAGTGTATTACGCTGGTTTTGACAGTTGATTGATTTTGTTCAAACCATTTACAGTCAAACACTTGTTATTAGATTGCATTGACCTTCAATTCTAACCTTCCTAAAACCTGGCCTGTTAAAAATATTAACTACCTTTGGTTACCATATATATATATATATATATATATAGGCACTTTGTTCTGTCAAGCTGACATTACTATTACCATATATATATAGGCACTTTGTCTTGTCAAGCTGACATTACTATAACCATATATATATATAGGCACTTTGTCCTGTCAAGCTGACATTACTATTACCATATATATATAGGCACTTTGTCCTGTCAAGCTGACATTACTATTACCATATATATATAGGCACTTTGTCCTGTCAAGCTGACATTACTATTACCATATATATATATAGGCACTTTGTCCTGTCAAGCTGACATTACTATTACCATATATATATAGGCACTTTGTCCTGTCAAGCTGACATTACTATTACCATATATATATAGGCACTTTGTCCTGTCAAGCTGACATTACTATTACCATATATATATAGGCACTTTGTCCTGTCAAGCTGACATTACTATTACCATATATATATAGGCACTTTGTCCTGTCAAGCTGACATTACTATTACCATATATATATAGGCACTTTGTCCTGTCAAGCTGACATTACTATTACCATATATATATAGGCACTTTGTCCTGTCAAGCTGACATTACTATTACCATATATATATAGGCACTTTGTCCTGTCAAGCTGACATTACTATTACCATATATATATAGGCACTTTGTCCTGTCAAGCTGACATTACTATTACCATATATATAGGCACTTTGTCCTGTCAAGCTGACATTACTATTACCATATATATAGGCACTTTGTCCTGGCAAGCTGACATTACTATTACCATATATATATAGGCACTTTGTCCTGGCAAGCTGACATTACTATTACCATATATATAGGCACTTTGTCTTGTCAAGCTGACATTACTATTACTTTTTTGTTCATTTCATGTCATTTCTTTAAAAGTATTTTTATTGGCCCTAATGACCTCTTCTGTTTTGATGGGCCATTAAGAATGTAATACTAAGAATTGTTCAGGAGATAGTTTACAGTGTCTACCCTGTTGAAGACTGGCCGAGTGTGACAGTAACATATATATACCTCAATACAGCGTTTGAAGTGCATCTCAGCGCTGACAAAGTCACGACGGTCCATTTCCAGCATACCTAGTGTAAAGTGTACCTTGGAATCAGAGGGGTTAACTGCCTTCAGCCTGCCAAGTCTGGGGTGAACAAAGCAAGTGAAGACAGTATAGGACAAAATCACAACACTAGAATTATTTTCTTTAATAAAACCAACTCATAACATTTTCTAATCTGGTTTTTACACCTCATGATAATATCTGTGAGAGTAAAGTCTTTCTCTTATATATTTTGGTGATTTACATTAAAAAGTGGAGTGAACTTCTAATTGATAAATAACGTAAGCAGTTTTTGACCTGTTAATGGTTGTAAAAGATTGGGGCAGAGATCAGAACAGGTACCCTTGTTAGATCAGAACAGGTACACTTGTTAGATCAGAACAGGTACTCTTGTCATATCAGAACAGGAACCCTTGTTATATCAGAACAGGTACACTTGTTATATCAGAACGATACCCTTGTTATATCAGAACAGGTACACTTATTAGATCAGAACAGGTACACTTGTTACATCAGAACAGGAACCCTTGTTAGATCAGAACAGGTACACTTGTTAGATCAGAACAGGTACCCTTGTTAGATCAGAACAGGTACACTTGTTAGATCAGAACAGGTACTCTCGTTATATCAGAACAGGTACCCTCGTGTTAGATCAGAACAGGTACACTTGTTAGATCAGAACAGGTACACTTGTTACATCAGAACAGGTACACTTGTTAGATCAGAACAGGTACTCTTGTTAGATCAGAACAGGTACTCTTGTTATATCAGAACAGGAACCCTTGTTATTTCAGAACAGGTACACTTGTAATATCAGAACAGGTACCCTTGTTATATCAGAACAGGTACACTTGAGAACAGGTACACTTATTAGAACAGAACAGGTACACTTGTTGTATCAGAACAGGAACCCTTGTTGGATCAGAACAGGTACCCTTGTAGGATCAGAACAGGTACCCTTGTTGGATCAGAACAGGTACACTTGTTGGATCAGAACAGGAACCCTTGTTGGATCAGAACAGGTACCCTTGTTGGATCAGAACAGGTACCCTTGTTGGATCAGAACAGGTACACTTGTTGGATCAGAACAGGTACCCTTGTTGGATCAGAACAGGTTCACTTGTTAGATCAGAACAGGTACCCTTGTTATATCAGAACAGGTACCCTTGTAGGATCAGAACAGGTACCCTTGTTGGATCAGAACAGGTACACTTGTTGGATCAGAACAGGAACCCTTGTTGGATCAGAACAGGTACCCTTGTTGGATCAGAACAGGTACCCTTGTTGGATCAGAACAGGTACACTTGTTGGATCAGAACAGGTACCCTTGTTGGATCAGAACAGGTACCCTTGTAGGATCAGAACAGGTACCCTTGTTGGATCAGAACAGGTACACTTGTTGGATCAGAACAGGAACCCTTGTTGGATCAGAACAGGTACCCTTGTTGGATCAGAACAGGTACCCTTGTTGGATCAGAACAGGTACACTTGTTGGATCAGAACAGGTACCCTTGTTGGATCAGAACAGGTTCACTTGTTAGATCAGAACAGGTACCCTTGTTATATCAGAACAGGTACCCTTGTAGGATCAGAACAGGTACCCTTGTTGGATCAGAACAGGTACACTTGTTGGATCAGAACAGGAACCCTTGTTGGATCAGAACAGGTACCCTTGTTGGATCAGAACAGGTACACTTGTTGGATCAGAACAGGTACCCTTGTTGGATCAGAACAGGTTCACTTGTTAGATCAGAACAGGTACCCTTGTTATATAATAACAGGTACCCTTGTTGGATCAGAACAGGTACCCTAGTTGGATCAGAACAGGTACACTTGTTGGATCAGAACAGGTACCCTTGTTAGATCAGAACAGGTACCCTTGTTAGATCAGAACAGGTACACTTGTTACATCAGAACAGGAACCCTTGTTGGATCAGAACAGGTACACTTGTTAGATCAAAACAGGTACACTTGTTAT